ATATATATATATATATATATATCATAGATTGAAGAAAGTAAAACTACATGGTTTATCTCTACAAGCCTGTTTCGTGAGTAACTCACTCCTGAAGAGATGTATCACGCTCTACGTGCTAACGTATTGAGCACTGTGCTACGGAAGTATCAAAAGACAAATTTCTATAGTATAATATAGTATATGTATATATTTATTATATATATATATATTATATTATATAATATATATATATATATAAATACTATTTATTAGATGATCTTGAAAAAACACAAATACTTTCCCTTGACATCTATCTATGTATCTACAGCTTTCATAGACATATTCTCATGTTTGATATCATTATCATATGTGTGTTTGTGTCAATTTTTTTAATGCTCCTCATTTCAGGAGTGTAGGCAAATGTTTGCAGCCTTTGACACAGATGGAACTGGATCAATTGGGTTTGAAGAATTCTTGGCTAGGCTAAGGGTAAATCTTTTATGATATATTTGATTAAAGATGAACAGTCAATCTTCTTGATTACATCTGTTCTTAATTAAACACTGAGTTAGTTCATTTGTTCCATTTGTTCCAATTGATGAGTCTGCTATAGCAGTGTTTACAAATAATTGGTGGGAAATGCACCACTATATTAATTACTTTTTCTTATTTTGTTTATTGAATAACTTTGAACTTCAGATATAACAAATTAGCTATTAGGGTAAAAAAGTCTTGACTTTCAAGTTGAAAGAGAAATCTGTGTAGCACAAAACTCTGTGAACTTGTGCTATGTACTTGTAAACCTTATTATATAATTTGTACAAGATTTGGTTATCTTCTCTTGCAGCCTCCTATGTCAGACAGCAGAATAAACATGATTAACAAAGCATTCAAAAAGGCTGATGCAACTGGTGATGGTGTCATCAATGCAAAAGACTTGAAAGGGTATTTATGTTTAAAGTTTTTATAGGTTGTTAATCTTTGGGTGAATGCCTTCTTTGGAATGAGGATCCCCATTGAGTGCCTCCTTGAAAAATCAAGATATTGTCATATCAAAATTTGGAATTGTTCTTGTTTCCACAGAATTAACAATTAACTTTTTTTATATATATAAGCTTAAGACTATCTACTTTTCTTTTTTGATCTTCATTTCTTATGTGTTCACTCAAAATTTCTAGTATTTACAATGTGAGACATCATCCAAAATACATGAATGGTGAGTGGACTGAAAGACAATGCTTTGAAGAATTTCTGAAAAACTTTGAGCCAGATGAAGCGAAGAGAGATGGGCAGGTAAAAAGGCTTACAATTTATTGTAGTATATTTAATATAGTATGCATCAAAATAACTCTTTTCATTAATGATCTTAAAGTATATGAATTTTTATTATATATATATATATATATTGTTATTATTTTTTATATTTGAAATGTTTTTAGCAGTAGGTAAGATGGAACAACAGCTCTCCATGCTTTTTAGTTAATTTTTTGAATGTTGGAAAAATGTTGTTAAGGCATTCAAATGTTGAAATGATCCTGAAGAAATTGAATGAGACATTGACACAACACATTGGTACCAAATTTCAACATAATCAAAAAGCCTTCCAGAACTGTCTCGTTGTCAAGCTTGTTTTCAGAAAGGCCTTTACAAGATTAACCAAAAGCTCACAATTTGTGAATAGCCATGAGGTTATGCTTCTCTAAGCAGCCTGCTTGGAACTGTTTTTTAGGTCTTGAAAGCAATTTTGACTTATATTGGTGCAGCAACCTTGAAATTGGGGTGCAGCAACCTTGAAATTGGGGTGTAGCAATCTTACATGGGGTGTAGCAACCTAGAGTTTGTGATTAGAACGGGTTTGCCAATTAATAATTTATATAACTTTTCTGTTAATTGTAGGTGACATTGGATGAATTTATTGATTATTATTCTGGTGTGAGCAATTCAATTGATGATGATGCATATTTTGATCTAATGATGAGAAATGCATGGAAAATCTAAGTGACTGTCACTCACAGACTGACGATCAGTATTAATTTCAGTATATGTTTTTTTCACCAGTTTCAGACACATTTTCATAAACATTTTTGATGATTTTATTCTACAATTATGTTTTGTGGCATTTCAAACCTTTGTTTTTAAGACAGTATTGCTACTCATTCTGAGGGATAGATATTTTGCTTTTCACAATTAACTAATTAAATAGTGTACTTATGTTTGTTTGTCAATAATCTTACATACATTTACACAATGTACGTTTCCAATACCAGAATTCATTGAGAATTTTTAAGTTCACTGAGGGTGTGGTGCCAGTGCTGATGAGAACATTGACAAATCAACAATTTTTGGGATTGTTCGAATTTCTCTAAATAAATTGCAGTGCATTAAACTATTTATTTGTGAAGAGCATCCAGCTATATTTAATGTTTCACTGGTTTAATTTCTTACTTGTAATTTAAATACATTTTCATTTTTAAATGATTTTCAGTTTTGCTTGATAAATGTTTATTTTCTGTTTATTTCCTCCAATATGGAACATATGAGTGATGACCGTTTTATCTTATTTCCCTCATATTTACAAAAAACTTTGGAAAATGTCAGTCTTTATTCTAATTTTGCAGGTTTATAAACAAGGAAGCTGGGGCTTTAAAATGTTTGCTTGTAAACGTTTAACAGCCTTCACTTTTGAACTTTTCTTAAAGTGGATAGCTAGAGCTGTAAAGCTGATACTGAAAAACTTTCATGCATTTGTAGACTAAGTTGTTGTAGACTTGTAGACACATCTTTCATGAGATAAACAAAATTTTATTGGATAATGATAAAATCTACTTTTGTAACAACTTGTAGAGCCTAGAGATCTTAAATTTTATCTCAGGCTAAATTGAAGTTCAAAACTGTGTTATTTGTTACCTGAGAAAATAGAATTTAGTCTGTGAATTCAATGGTATATCAAGAATCAAAACCAGTATGCAAAATGATTATCAGTATTTTGTTCAGATAAGAAATGTCATGTTGTTAAACAGTTTTCAGCAAAACAATTGAGACAATCTGTTAAGCCTGAGTTGCTCTAAACTGCACAATGGGATAAGGCTTTATGTTCCCACGGTTATCTTTTCTACTAGCTACAATGCACAAATGCATTTTACACAGTTCACATACACTTAGTGAGCAAAAGTATTGCACAGGCTGAAACAGAAATGGCGGCACTGCAGCGAAGTTTTTTAGCGAACCAAAATTCAAGTGGCCATAGCAAGTTTCATAAAAGTCATAAGATGACATTTTAGTTTGAATATATTGGAAAATTTATCAAGGTTTGATGCTGATGATAAGAAATGCAAGAATATTCTTGATTTTTGCGTATTTCTAAACAATATCGACATTTGCAAAAACACAAAAATTGAGCCATGATGATTGAAGTACCTATGAAATATTTGCAATAAAAAAGTTCTTCTTTGCACCAATTTGCGAGATCTTATAAAGACTAACTCGGGAATACTTACTTTATGCTTTGGTGTCTAGAACTGCTCATTTTCCTCACTTTTGTTGGAGAATATGCTAAATGTTTTGGTCGGAAATTTTTGGAGCCGCAATGGGCCTAATCGCAGCGGCCGCTTCGTGATATGTTGCAGCAAAATTCAATCAATAAAATGTGTCACAAATCGGAAAGTCCATTTTTTCCAACCAGTTGCGATGTTGTAATAGGAATAAATAATGCTGAAAATTGCATGAAACAACATTTCATCCTCTCATTTAATGAAAATACCAAAATTCCCGCGATAAACAGGTTCACTCAAGTGCCTCAGTAGCTGTAAAAGAGTAGGCTTAAAAAATGGCTTAAATATGCCAGTTTCCACCAAATACAAGGCCATCTATCATCGACTTGGTTCTCCAACGCCTAAATGTGATCTTTTAAATGTTTTTCTGAACTTATCATGTCTCGATTAACAGAACCTGCTACTAAACTTTTTGATAAAGTTTTAGCAAGTCTTTGTTCACTAAGTTCACAAGTGCAATACTTTTGCTCACTAAGTGTACTCAGTTCCTCTGCATTGGACACAAAATACTACTTATACAGTTGGATTTTATTTCTTACCATCACAAGAAAAATGGCTCATCGTTTAAGGGTAAGGACTACAAATGCCTTGGGTGAGAATCCCTAACATGAGTAAACTTCCACCGAGAGTGAAGGGGAGTCGCCAGCTATTTGCAATTCTAGGCTTAGGAATCAGGAGGTGTGCCCCATCGAAGGGAAGGACCAAACCTCCTGATTCGATGAGCATATCTTCCGATTCCTAATAACTACCTTAGGATGCTAGGAAGAAACAAACAAAAATACAAGAAAGATTCGAAGATGTTTTTTGACCGAACATAAACACGCGCTAGCATGTTGGGTTATTGCATGTCTTAAGCAGAAGTCTAGGTTACAGTAATTTGTTAGAGAGACGAACAAGACAAAATCTTTGAATGTGTGAGGTTAAAAAGAGCATGCGCATAAAGCTTGATCATTATTACGCATGCTCTTTGACCTCATTACGGAGGTTGACACACACATTACGAGGCTTCCGACCGTTTGTCACCCCAACAACGATAATTTGGCGCACCAGTTTAGCGTAGCGCATTGCATTATGTAATTGACTATTATAGATAACACGTATCTTCATCTATCTTCCTCACTTTTACAGCAAAATTGATTTCAGACCCGCTTATCTTCTTTCATCGCTGAAAAGCCCCTTATGACATTTTAAAAACTGATGTTTGCAATCATCATCAAGAAAATGCTGTAAACGTTGCTTGTGAATTGCACAATTTATTGAATTGAAATGATTGTTGCTAATTCAGTTTTTTGTATGGTACTGACCTGTACCAATCGCCAAAAGCTAAATTATTTATGCTTTTATTCATGTCTTTGGTTTACAAAAAAATAGCAGAGAGATCCGTGAATGCACTCGGCCGAATTTTAGATACGATAACAGGTCTTACATGAAAGCAAGAGCTGCAAACAACATATAACTTGCTACAAAAGCTACACGAGAGCACAGACTAGAAGAACGCCTGCATTCGCTTTTAAATATTATCTGTAACTAGGCATTTTCAAATTGCAGTCGCTGGGGTCTATGAGGCCATGAAGATCCAGAAAAAGATCGGTATTCTTGCCTGTGAAGATGCACCAGGGTGGGGAGGGGAACAGGGAATCAGCAATTACATCACAAAACAGTTTGGAAGAATTGAAGATGGCGTTGCTACCGAATTCGTGCATTTTCATGCAGTCACTGGCCAGCTACCTCAAGAAGATGAGATCAAAAGCTTCGATGGATTCGTTATCTCTGGATCGCATTATTCTGTAAACGATAGACACAATTGGATCGACAACCTTATTAATTTTGTAAGGTCGTTGTATGACCTTCCTAATAGGCCCAAATTGTTTGGTATATGTTTTGGACACCAACTAATTGCCAAAGCTCTTGGTGGCAAGGTGGAAAACAATTCATCAAAAAGGTTTGTCTGGGGTACGGAAAAAATTGAGTTGGCAGCACCACTTCGAGTAAATTCCTTGTTAAGCAGAGCGTTCGGAGAGAGACGCGGGCATTTCAAAATTGCTCAGTCACACGGCGAATGGGTGTCGGTTCTTCCGAAGGAAGCAGTGTGCATCGGAAGATCATCTTCTTGTGAACATGAAGTTTTGATGTATGGTGAAACAATAATGAGCACACAAGGACATCCAGAGCTTGTTAAAGAAGCTTTGGTGGGTAACATCTTGCCAAGGCTGCTTGACAAAGGGATTTTGAATGCAGAAGAAGAAAGAGTGGCATTGCAGTCGCTTAGTGATGAAGATCAGTACAAACTCATTCAGTTTGTAAAGATGTTTTTGGTAGCCAATTGACATTGTTATGTGCTTTCTAGATCTCGACAGATATGATAAGAATAAGGAATTTATTCTACAAGTAAAACCTTAGAGATGTTTACCAAGTTTCTAGAATTTAAGAAATGTTAGAGTAAGATTGTGATTTAAATAGTTAAAGATTACAGCTTTATTGCGATGTGTTGATTGACAAGAGCTGTAACTTCATATGCTTGTTATATTTCCATCAGAAAAACCCTCTCGTAGCTCAGAGGTGATAAAACACTTTCGTTATTTAGAATCATTGTCTGAAAATCTCAAACATTACGGCGATGATGCATCAGAACTGTGACGTCTATCATTGTGACGTCAAGTTTACGTCACTATGTCTGCGGAACCGATAAGTCTTGGTCCGTTATTCAATTCAATAATCCAAATGCATCCACTCATGACTGAAAATTGTGTAAAATATTGAAAGTAAATAGCGACTTTGAATAAACAGGCTCAATTCCACCAGTTAAGCAACAAAAGGCTATTACTAGATTCGTTGGAGAGGTCCTTTAACAAAGTTAAAACAGCGACTTAGTATTGAAAATTCACTTAGTATAAATTTGTATCCTTTTGTCAGCTCGTGACCAGCACCTCTTGTGTTGGTTTATGATGAGCTTCCTATCAAATGTCATACACCCTTTGGATAATAGCTCTTGTTTCTTTACTAAATTACTGAAAATTCTTGAACAGACAAATTAATGAAGAAATTTCACTTTCGGTACTCGATTTTGGAAGAATTCTTGCAGCATAGGCGCCGACCATTAGTTTTCCCGGGGAAGCCTCAAAACTTGAAGTGGGAATATTGTCACGAAAGATAGGTTCATATCGTTTGAAAGCTGCTCGTGATGAATTCCAATCTCAATGATTGACAATTAAAAAAGAATCAAAATTATCTTATTTGATTTAAGCACCTTTTTTATTTATTCCAAAAATCTGTTCTCCATCAAAAAGCTGTGAGGGGTGGTTGAGCCCTCCTGAAGGCAAACGACATACATACATACTAAAGAGGCTTGAAACATTTTTCAATGAAAAGTGACCAATCAGTAAACGTGATTTCACTCACACCCTTTTTGATTGGCTACCATTGATTGACAGATGGCAAAAGCCGCTTTCATATCTGTCTATTGCATAAAATTCCTAATCCCTTTTTTGCGCAAATTTAATAAAAACTTCAGCTTCAAATCTATTTTAGAATTCATTTTCTGTCGGTCTAAATTGACATTGGCTACAATTCTTTAAATGGCACGAAAACCAGAATAAGGAATTTGAATGAAATTAATCCTATTTCTATTGAAATATTTCTATTCATATTTCATCAAGTCACCAATTTTGTGAACAACTTTGCCAAAGTTCAGAAAGGTCGTCTGCTGGCACTTGGTAGAAGAGCGACTCTGATTAAAAAATGAAACTGGCATGCCTAGGGTGTCAAATGCTAAAATCTAAAGGGCTGGTTAGTAAAATGGAACTCTCGGTATTGAAAAAGTTTGTACCATATGGGGCATTGACGGAATATATGGGAACGGAGGCAAATGTCAGCCCAGTTCCAAATAATGAAAAATTAAGCAAGAAAATAAGATTTTTAATATAGAAACAGATGGAAAAAGTTTCTGAAACGAAACAATGGGAACTTTATGCACATTAGACAGCACTCAAACAAAGTGAATTTCCACCACAGACATTTGGAAAGTCGAAAGTATGCATGTAGTGACGCAGAGAGCACTACAGAAATGGGAGGCAAACAAAGAAACCACTTAAACTCATCAGAGATGTCGAATGCTACGCTTATGCAAGAAGCAAAGAAATACTTGTTAGTCTCTAGCAAGCATATTTGGTTTATAGTGTGATTTTACTTAAGATTAAATCAATGAAGTGAAATTGAGAGAGAAAGTTATATTGTACAAAGAATTTACTCAGTAGAGAATTTGAAGTTGAAATGAATAGTCTAAGTAACGTTTTTGATTATTTAGAAATTCTAATGGTTTCTCGTGCAGCATGATCTTATCGTTGTGGAGAAGTTTCCATAAAGATCTCACTACACAGACAGATGATGATAGCTCGATAGCTGTTCAAATCGACAGGGTTGTCTTTGCAACGAGCCTGCCTTGCCATGCAGCAGTTAAAGAATTTTATAGTTTACAGTCTAGAGCCTTTTTGACATACTAACTAGGGGCAGTTGCCCCTCCAGCCCCAGTGACCCTACATCATTCATACAATAGAGTATTGCCCTCCTCTTTATATACACAAAGGCTTGCTTCCAAAGCTGGTTTCTCTATGAAAAGGCTACGTTATTAGTGAATCGCCCTTTCATTTTTAAATCCATACGGTACTAGGTTTCCTCTGTATCTTCAAGCACCATGCCAGTTGCACTCGATGACAGTTTGATCAGCCCAGTCTACTCATACCCTGATCGTCTGGGCAAGGACGTAATGGCAAAGAGCACAATCTC